GGGGGGTGGGGGTATAAAAAACAAAATAAAATGGTGCAGTGGGGTAGAATTCTGATAAGTGATAATACAGATGGAAGAAGGCCAGGCTGGAAACCCTATTTAAAATTTCCTTTGCACTGAAATAAAAGTTACCAAAGGGGCAACTGGAAATCTGCCTGATGTAGAAGGCTCCTGTTTTTTCCAGCTAGCAGGTTTCTTCCCTGTCTACGCAAGGGATACACAAACAGAGGAAATTGCACATCCAGTCTGGAGTGAGTGCATTCTAGCCTCCAGCCAGTTCCACCACCTGCTTTTTGTCTAGTCTCTTTCAGACATATTCTATACAAAAATAGGCAGTTTTCACTATGGGGGAGCTAAAAAGCCCTCTTTCCAGTAATGCAATTTCCTAGCCTGAAAGTCTGCAAGGTAGGAACCTCAGAGAATGATTTCAGATAATTTTCAAGATTTTCTAAATTTTATTCCTCCCTGCGGCATTTTTTTATAGCTGGACTGAAGGTGATGCAACTACCCGAATAAAAATTAGTAAATGAGTTTGTGGAACTCTTATGGGGGCTGCAGATGTCTACCTTTCCTTTGCTGCTGTATTGGGGAGGGAGGTCCTTAACTATACCAAATGTTGCTGTTAAACACCATCCTCCACTTACTGTTGCCTGAGATATTGCATTTGCCATCTTGGCCACTGCAGTGTTACTGCAGGTAGTGGCCCTGTTCCTCAAACTGGATGGAGCACTAACGGTTAGTTTCTAATGTACAGCTGTTCAACACAGACCATCAGATAAACACATACAGGAAATTATATGCTATTAACAAATTGCATAGGAGAGCGATGCTGCTAAACATGTATGGCTGGGGTGGGTGTTTGACAAAATGGACGTAGGTGCATTACGGAGGAAAATATAACATCCTTTTAATAATAGGTGCCTTTGAAAGAAAGGGTTACTAAACAGCAGCCCACTGCCATGCACATTAGTCGTCGAGAACATGATCATTTTCCTCCTGTGGGCACTGACATTGGGTAGCTCAGCTGCCAGTTCTTACCCTTCCCCGAGCATAATATGCCATCCGCTGACTCGCAGAGACTTCTGCTCTCCTCCTCCGTCATGTTGCACTTCCTTGAATGCTGGCACAACTTTCCAAACCACCCGTCCTGGCAAATGCATCGGCCGCATGAGCAGGTACCATGGCCTGTAAGGACACCAAGGTTGGTTATGAGCAAAACAAGCAGAAAGCTGTGACTGCGGTCGCAACTGAGGTCATCTTCAGACCTCTGCAGGGGGAAGTGCACGCTATGGGATAGACAGACAGATAGATGGACAGCACAGCTTCCCAGCAGGGTGGCCTTCTTCAGTTCTCTCACTCTTGTGTCAAACAAACAGGGTGCTCTAGTGATAGGCAGAAAAGCATGGGCACAGCTCCCCTCACCCAAAAAGCTGAGCATCACCTCAACTTTATGGGATGTTCCCTAATCCACAGTGTACTGAGGACAGACATGTCTTTCATTCTGCAGCCCAGTGCTGAAGTGTCACCTGCATATCCCATACGATCACCTGAAGAAGCAGACCCCAGCACAGCACACAGCAGAACAGGCAAGGGAGATAAAAGCTGCAATCTCCTCCAGCAGCCCATTACTGCGGGTTATCTGCTGCAGCGCGTGGAGCCACTGATGCGCAAAGCCTGGACTCAATATACTCTGCAATTGCTACAATTAACTCATACAGTACAGGATGAAGATAATTCCCCACAGGGTCTCATGCAATTACTAAAATTGGATATACGTAAACCCAACTGGCAACCTGCAAAGAGCTCCTCTCATCACCCTAACAACATCCTGTTTCTCTTCTGCATCTCTTCTCCAGACATAGCTATCCCAGCTCAGCAGTTTAAAAGGTTTGGCCTTTTCACTCCAGATACTGTAGTAAAATGCCAAGGGAGGAGGAAGAGACCAGAGCATTCTCCAGAGCACACACTTGTATGACCCCAAGGCAGGACACTGAAGAAGAATGGGCAAGTTATGATGGTGGGCTTTCTCCACAGGGACACAGATTTTAATTCCCAAATCAAGACAAGAAGCCTGAATGAGAAGGAAGATGGACAGGCAGAAGAAGAATACAGTAGCAAGGACATAGCTATCAGAAGATGATTAATATAAGAGGGAAAAATAGGGCGAAGTGAAACACATTAAAAACAGAGGAATGAGGAAAAACATAAAATAGCAGGCGAGTGGAGAGGAATACACTCTGAAATGTTAGGGAAAGAAGGGCAGGGAATGGCAAGTGAGGGAAAGGTTAAAGAAACCCTAGAACATGGGTGAATGATAGAGTCTAGAAGCTGTAATCAATGTTTAAAAAAAGGGAAAAAAAGATGAAATTGAGTTTTTGATAATTATTTGCACAAAGATTAATAAAAAAGGAAAATATGTTGAATAGTAAACTGAGTGGAAAATCTGGCCAGGAAGAAGGGAAAAGTGACAACAAATGCAGTCGAGAATACAGAAATGGAAAATAGAAAAAAGAAGTAAGAAAAGCCTCCAAGCCAGAATTTCACTTTTCACCCCTGAGTAATATTTCTGCAGCAGAGAAGATCATTCCTTAGCTAATCAGTTTACTGGGCTTAAAAGAAGCAAATTATACATGCCAGTGACTTTTGTCTTATCCTACCTGCTATGTAGGGCAAGGGAGTGGAAACAAGGGGACTGAGATAATTTGGGAGCATGGGCTGGGAAGAAGGGAACAAGCAGTAGGAGTATCTGGCAAAGCATTGAGCTGTAGGATGCAGAGAAGCAAACCAGCAATTTTGCTTTGCTGATTTGTGGACTTCTTATGAGGCAACAGTGCAGTTTGACATTGTAAACCAGGAGGCAGCACTGGTAGAAGCCCAAAAGAGAGACAAACCTTGTAGTTTGCTCTAAGTGGAATTCCTGAATGTTTTACTGATAGCCAAATATTTACTAATTTAAATTAGAAAACACTGGAAGCTCCAAAGTCTTGGAGCTGTCATTTACAGCGATCTGAATGTTCAGAATAATTTTTGTACCCCAAACTGTGTTTTGATCTTTGTTGGTTTTTTAAATCTTATTACCTATACAACTTTAAATGGTCAGTAATAATGACACAGTCTTATTAAGACAGTATTCCTAGCCACTTCTGCAAGTGACATCCAGCAATTAACCAATTTACATATATGGATTTAACATATATCAAATATTGCAAATTGATAATTAGCAACAATAGAAGCTTGATGATACTTCAGCTTCTGTGTTAGATAAGGAAACAAGAGCAACTATACCACAAACCAAAATGCAAGAGGTAGAAAACAAGCATATATACTTTCCCATATGCTCCTTCCAGGTAGATGGCATGCAATTGTCTATATTAACTTACTCTAGCTAAGTTTCTGACAGATAAAAATGCTCTGCCTTATTTATTTTTAATTAGCAACGTATAGACTAGATTTGAGAATAGCTCAACCACTGAGGAGCAAAATATACAACTGGATGTCAGCGTTGGAAAATTATTTGTGGAGATACAAATACTTGTACTCATTTTAGCAGCAAATAGTAAGAAATCCATGATGATTTTACTGAGAAAATAATTTTGTATCATTTTTCTTATATAGTCATTATGATTTACAGAATGCAGAGACTGATCATGTCTGTAAAGCCTTTAGACAAGTCAAATAAAAAGGTAATGCATAAACTACAAATTTACGAGAGTTTACAGTTTACCACATAAGATTTTGACATGCATTTTTCTGAGATGACCAGTTCTCCCCTCCTTTATGCCATACAAATCCTCAAAACATAAAGGATTCCTTTGTCTCAAGCAATCCATTTTACCAAAATAATATTTACTCCTAGCTGACACCAGCTTGGGCAACTGCAGCTCTTTGGATGCCTCATCCATCAGGGTGGTGAGTATGCAAGTGCTTAGCCCAGTACTTGTTGACTCCTAGCTATCTTCTGTGTGTGCTAGCCTGTGAAAAACTGCTTTATACCGTTTAGTTGTGTATATCCTCCTCACAGAGGCTCTTTGCGTTTGTCTGAAGATGTCCAAACAAGCTGACCAAAAGGAAGCGCCAAAATATAAGCAGCTGCTTTCAGTTGAATGTAATATTCAGATTACATTCAAAGTGTCTCAGTTTCATTCCAATGAATCCCAGACTCTCAAAATTATGAGCAAGAGCAGCAAAAAGGTACTCTTGCTCATAGGTTCTTTTAGATCTGAATATAATTCCCTCCATAGAGGAGAATAAAATTCAAGAATACAGCAATCAGAGCAAAGGGGAAAAGAAAAATCTATAGCTGAAGAAGTCCAGCCCAACTGAATTGGCTAACATGATAAAATATTGATTTAACTATTCAGATGAAGCAGATTTCCTGGAAAGTGTTGGTCTAGCATCAATTCAGATTTAACATGAAGCTCTTAAAATCACAAACAAATTGCATATTGCAATGGCTCTAAGACTATAGATCTTAATTCATAAAAATCTGTGTTAATGAACATTTAAATATATAACAGAATGTTTTAAACATTAATCTCCAGTCAAGAAGAAAGACTGTGATGGGGGAGAGGGAAAGGAGAGAAAAAGATGATGATAAAAATACCGTCACTTTGTTTAGAATTATCAATAAATCCAATAACCACAGGATTTAAATGTGAAATGTGAATGCAACAACAAAGCAAGCTGCGACAGATTAGTAGCAGAGGTCTTTTATAACCCAAATCAACCCAAATCAAACCAGACACTAGGATGAATTATTTCTTACCACGCCTGGAAATAAAACTATGTGGTTGTGGGAAACTTCAGGTTAGGACTACTCATGAAACCGTTGTCAGAGTTCCCCAAAAACCTGCATGATAATTTTCTAATACAAAAGGCACCACTATCTGGGAATATCAGCATGATGAAAGAAGTGAAGTAATCATTGCAGAGGAAGCTGGTTCTTATTTATAGACTAACTGATTATAACCAGATGAAGTTCACAAAGGGCAAACCGAGGCCAGCCCCAAACAAAATTTGACACCTCAGGAGAATAAGTTTTTCAAACTAATATAATATAATAAATATATAATAAAGTCAACATTAACCAGAACTGGAGGAAACAAATCTTTAGCTATAAAAATATGAATCCGAGACTGTCCTGGATGAAGAATTTATCTGATAGCCCAACATTTTTCCACAGTACGAGAGAAGTCCACTCATGCTATGAGTTAGGAATATGAAGGCTTTACAGCCAAAGAAAGAAAGATGAAATAGATAGCAACCAATATAAATGAGAAATTTTGTTGTGAATAAACCAGATACAATAGAGGAAAGAAAAAACCAAAACAACCCAAAATTCTATAACTGGATGAAAAACCAGAAGTTTTAAAACTGTACTAGGAATATGAAAAATCTCAGCATAATGCAGGATCCCTGATTTGGAACAATAGAGCAAATGAAACAAATATTTCTCTCTGTACTTAAATAGAAACAGGTTTTTGTAATATTTTATTACAAGACTATGATAAAGAACTTTCCATTATATTATTAACATAAGAGAATATTAAACAACATCTATCTGGGAGAAATATTTCTAAGTGATCAGGCTTCATTAACCTGCCCAAATATGCTAAAAGAGTTAGTAAAAACATTACTGGATCACTGATTTTTATTTTTATTGAATACCTGGAGTACCTCATAAGACTGGAACAGTTGTGACAACTGCGGTTAGAGAAACCTAATATAAATGTGAAGCAAAATACTGATTGCTTATTATATTTTCATAATAGGTTGCTTAGTATTGTCCAAGTCTAATAAAGGTGGACTGTGGCTCCAGTTTGAGCAACACAACAGGTGGGCAGTTCAGTAAAACTTTCAAGTTAAACACTGCGTTGAAAAGGGCTCATGTCATCCTCATATGCATATAACAGGAGAGAAGCGAGTAGGGACAGAAATGAGTAGGAACATTTAAAGCATTGATGAGATGGACATTAAAGTCCTGCAACTCACTGTGATATCCATGTTTGAAGAGATTTTGAAAAACTTGGAATAGTCCCAAAGAGTTCCAAAGGAAGAATTCAAAGGGCAGAGAAAATGGCTTGTTGAAAGAACTTCAAAGATCTGTATCTACTTAGCCTATTGAAAAGAAAAACAAACAAACAAAAAAAACAAAAAAGAGGCTAAGAAGTGTTTTAGCAGGATCT